CACTGATCATCTCATCTATCAAACTCACCTTTCATAACACACCCACTATTTAACTCATGATCTATATCACTAACTCATGAAGCTCGTCCGATCACTTCATAAAAGAACAAAGACTCCAAAGCTCTTCCAAATAAAAGTATAGGGAAAATACAGATAAAGTACTCTCGTACGCTCCCGTACCCCGACACGTAATAGTGTCAAAAAGATGAACTAACGGATGAACACATAGTTCAAAAACACCTAATGAACATATAGTTCAAGAACACTTTATGAACATATAGTTCAAACATACGTACCGATTACAAGTCTACTAACGTTCCACTGGATTATCTAAAATAATCTGTGGCCGTTGTCTATACTCTGCTAGATGACTAGATCATATTAAACATCGATACCTCTCATCACTTTTATTTCATCACACATCATCTAATTCATCTACCCATGTTTTACCCAACATATTTGTAGATAAAAATATATATACAGTTTAAAACTTATATAAAACATCTATTCAACAGTCACCTTAATTAAACAATCAATATAATTACACATAGCACGTATTTTAAAGAAAATACTTCATATATATATATATATATATATATATATATATATATATATATATATATATATATATATATATGTGTGTGTGTGTGTGTGTGTGTGTAAGGTGAAAGTAACTACACACTCACTTGATTTAACGATAACCGGGCAGCACTTCGTTGCCTAAAACGATCGTTTCTAATAAAATCGGGAGTTTTATTGAAAATCGGGCTCTGCAAGGGTCGGGCTTCGAAACCGAAAAAATAAATTTCCCGGGCTTCTCGGGCACTCCGGGACGTGTTCCGGGCATTGGAAATTATCTCGGGGCATCGGGGGAAGCGAAAATGGCTAAAATATTGAAAAAGGGGTGAAAATGCCCAATTTCCAAAACTACCCGGGCAATCTCGCATGACCCTTCTATTTATAGGAGTCCGAAGTCGGCTTGGGAGGTGGGGTCCGCAGGCGAGGGTGCGCAGGTGCTCGCACATGGGCTGCACGTGCGAAGTGGCTGCTGGCAGCTCCTGATTGGACCGAGGCCTAGTGGTCCGAGGTAGAGGGTTCGTGGCTCACTGTGATAGTAGACACGCGTCGGACAGGCATTGGACCGCTTCAGCAGCTTGGATGACTCAACCTCATTTCGGACACGTGGCTCGCATGACTCACCAATTTCGGACACGTGGCACTCATTCAGCGAAGGTGACGTGGCCGAAGCCACCTATGCGAAAATTCTCGGTTTTCGCGCCAAAACTTCTAAAATCCATAACTTTCGCATACGAGCTCCGTTTTTGACGTTCTTTATATGAACGCGTAGGTAAAATTACGCTCTACAACTTTCGTTTAGACTTCGTCGGCTAATTTTGACTTTAATTTTTATATTATTATTTTTAACAGACCGGGACAGGTAATCCGTTAAAAATTCATAACTTCTTCATCCGACGTCCGTTTTCGTCAGACTTTTACCGTTGTGCTATAAATGATGAGACCTTAGATTCTCGTTTAGGTCGTGTCGGCTAAAAATCGCTCGATCTAAAATTCGAGTTTTTAGCTGTCTACTGCTAAGCTGAAACTTCGAAAAATCATAACTTCCTCATACGAAGTCAGATTTGGGCGTTCTTTTTATACCTACTCTCGGTTTAATGAACACTACGAGTTTCGTTTAGATCACTAAGGCTAAAAAGTAGTTTATCAAAAACTCACTTTTTTACGACATTCGGCACCGTGCCGGTTTATCGTGAAACTTCGACATGTCATAACTTCTTCGTTATAACTCGGATTTCGACATTCTTTATATATCCGTAATCCTTGTCACGCCCACTACAAGTTTCTTAATAGATATCGGCTTTATCTAATATTTAATTTTGACGCTCATTTTTATTCTTAATTAATTAAACCCTAATAATTAAGCATAAAACACATAATTCACATAAAATTCACATAATTCCTTTTCATTTCTTCTAAATGAGTTACAAAGGTTAACCTAGACCATTATGTCAATATTAATGCCTAGCCTAGAAACACGGGCGTTACATATGATTTATGGAACTCGGCGAGTTGAGTCAACCCATAATGTTGACTTTGACCAGAATGTTGACTTTGACCAGGGTGTTGACCTTGACTTTGACCACGGTTGACCTTTAAGGGGTCATGAGTATGAAAGGGTAATTAAGAAAATCTTTTATGAATAGGAGCTTGAGTTGGGTGGATTGTCGGTGCCGAGGATTTCAGCTACTTACTACATTCGAGGTGAGTTACCTTCCAGTAGAAGTGGGTTGAAGGCACCAATACCGGCCGACTAGTAGTTGATTATAGTTGAGATGATTGTCTTTGTGATAATTGTCTGGTATGCCACTATCTGATATGCTTTATGTGCTAGTATGCAATGATATAATGTGATAGTGATAGGAGGGGCAGGATAGACCCTGTTACCGGTCGTAAGGACTGAAGGGGTAGGCCAGCACCCAGATATGCTAGGCAGTATGTTTTTATGTACCAGGATGATATGTGGTAGTGGTAGGGGTGAAATAGTCCTCGTTACCGGTTGAAAGAGACCGAAGGGGTAGGCCAGCACCCAGATATGCTAGGCAGTTACCGGTTGAAAGAGAACGAAGGGGTAGGCCAGCACCGTGATATGCTAGGCAGTTACCGGTTGAAAGAGACCGAAGGGGTAGGCCAGCACCCTGATATGCTAGGCAGTTACCGGTTGAAAGAGACCGAAGGGGTAGGCTATCACCCGGATATGCTAGGCGGTATGTTATTGTATGGTATGTGGTATGATGGGGGAACTCACTAAGCTTTGCGCTTACGGTTTTCAGTTTCGGTTTCAGGTACTTCCTCTTCGAAGGGAAAGGAGCCGGTATGATCGCAGCGCATCACACTACATTTTCCGCACAAGAGGTCTTGGGGATTTATACTTTGATGTTGTTTTATCATGACGTGTTTGACTATTGATACATGGTTTTTGATATGAGTTGATATTATGGATGTTTTCAGACAAATGGTTTTATAATTATTTAATTTAAAAATTAAATTTTTGGTCTTAAATTTTGGGATGTTACAGTTTGGCCTCTAGCATTTGATGGATTTTATTGGTCATAAACAAAACATGTGCATACGAAAAATCTCTTAACACTTAAGTGCACATGCAACCTATAAGGATCTATGTTTTGTCTAATTGATAACAACATACTATTAACTTCAAGAACCCTAAAGGAACTCTATGAAAATCGAAATTCATGAATTAGGGTTTACATACCTTTAGATTTATTATAGCAAATAAATCTTTGATCCTTTCCTTTGTGTCTTTAGAAAGAAAGTACCAAAAGTATGATGCCTCTAATGGCTCACACCCAAAACCCTAAAAACCCTAGATTGAAGAGGGGAGAGAGGAGATGCATAGAAATTTCGTTCCTAAGCCTATAGGAAAAGGTATGAACGAAATTTGTTGGTCTTGGGGTCTTATTTATAGTTTAGATAACTTGCAGGCAAAGAAAGATTTGAATTAATTAAATAATATAATTAATCTCAATTCAAATCATTTCCTTATCTGCATCACGGAGACTTCCAAAACCCTAGAAGAGCCTCAAAAACCTTCCACCCTTGGATGATTCTAGAATTGCCTTCTTTTGTTCAACGATTGAACAATTACAATTCACCCATTGCACCTTTAGTTAATTCCAATAAATCCCAAATTAATTCCAAATTAATTCTGATTAACAATTCCCATTGATTTCATATTAATTTATCAATTAACAAATCAATTATTTAACTATTGATCTCATGTTAATTTATTAATCACATAACAAATTTAACGAATCAATTATCTATTTCCAATTAATATATTAATCACATGATATATTAACAAATCATTTCTCTCTATCCTAATATCATTTCTAGCTATTTCTAGTTATGAGGGAAACCCAAAAAGGATTTTGCTTCTATTTGCAAGTTTATACAAAACTAGTTATGAGCTAGAACACTTAAATCCAACAACATTTGCGTGAAAGACCATGGTTTGGTTCCTCGCAATTGTATGGAAGACCAGATCTGGCCCCTGACACTTGTATAAGTAAAGACCATGATTTGGTCCATTGCAGGAAGTGATGGTAAGACTATGATTTAGTCCATAGCTTTCACTCGGGGTTATATATGGTATGTGGTATTTTGGGAAACTCACTAAACTTTGTGCTTACAGTTTATGTTTAAGTGTTTCAGGTACTTCTGGTTTGAAGGGAAAGGACCCGACCTGATCGCACTGCATTCCCCAGAGATTTATTTCGCACTATCTATTTGATACGCTTTGATGTTTTTGAGAATGTTATATACATTGGTTGGTTTTTGATTAAATGGTTGTATGGCTTGATGATTTAAAATCAAAATTTTTTACTTAGTATTTTTGGGACGTTACAATGTTTACTATACCTGACCTATGTGATAAAACAAATATGTTTTTTTAGAGTATTGTATCTGACCTTGTGTTATGTCAACCCTTTTTGTATTGTAAACTGAATGTGTGATGGTTTAAGGAGATGATTCTATTCACGAGAAATATTTCAAATAACACAAAGCAGTCCACAATTTTGCAAATCAAACTTTGTAAATATTCGGTTGATTGCATTATCGCAATTGAATTACTGATAACTAAGATTACCCAAAACCAAGTGGATGGCAAAGGTGGTGATGGTGATGGGGCCAGGAAACGATTATATTAATATTCCCTGTTTTTTATATGAAAACAAGATCGAATAACTTTTTTTTCATACATTCGGTCCTATACCATATTACTATGTTGTTTCTCTTAGCCCTTATATCCGTTTCCAAAATAGCATAAAAATGTTGGGGACAAGGTGACATAATTAATTAGATGGATCGTATACAACTTCATGTAGCATTATACAAATACACACCCAAAATAAAACCTTAGATTTATAAATTTAGATGACCATGCCCCCTAGCTAGGCTTATTTCTATGGTTTTAGAGTCATTCCAACAGCACTCACACTTGGTCTAGCAATCAACTTGAGCTTTGTACGGTCAATATAACTAGAGACTGTATCATTGAAGCTGTCTGCACTAGAGACACTCGTTTCACCACCACCAACAACATCTGAAGAAGAACCCCCCATCTTCATCTTCGTGCCATCAATATAACTATTGTATTTATCCTCACTGAAAGTCTTCTGACCAGAATCACCATTGTTTTCAGCATTATCTGAAGAGAAGCGAACCAAGTGTTTAGAGGTTTTTATCTCACAAGGAACAGACTGGGGTAGGGTAGAGGAAACATGCGGTTTGACAGTGGAGTGATAATCATTGCTTGACATTGAAGGATTTTGAACATCGTTTCTCTTTGATCTACCAAATATGGCTTCATGTATCTTCTCACAGCAACTCTTAGAAGGGCGTTTATTTGTCTCATGATTGTATGCCATTGGGTTCAACAGCTAGTGGCGAACTGAAGATATTGAGGGAACGTGTGGCTATTTAAAGAGACCTTGTTAGCCTAAGAGAATTTACAACTAAAGCCTACTTTTTTTCATTCACATTAGAAATCTAAAAGAGGAAATGAAGGAGAAGGTGGATATGAAACAAGAGCTTAATCAGATTCTTAAATTGGTGAGAGAAATTCTCTTTACATTTCAAGATGTTCTGATGACGTCAGATGGCTGAGGACAGCATTCAATGATTACGCAACAGTTCTACATCTTTAAGCAAAAAATTCTATAGCCCATTAAGGGAAGCATAGGAAATAGTGGACACAAACACAAACATGTATGAACAGATGACAACAAACCGAAATATCGAATGTGCTTTTCTATAAATAGAATTTCTAGGTAGCATCAGATTCTAAAATTGCTTCCCCCAGTCAAAAGTTACAACACATCGCTATCAATTTATTTATGCAATGAAATTAAAAGTTTTTTGCTTTTATTAATTTAAGTAGTTATGCTTTAATTTGCTTTATAAGATTTTCAGTAAAAATATAACTTTGTTGCATAATTAAGTCACTACTCCCTTTTGTGAAGGATAAAAATTTGTTCATATCAAAAAAGTAAAAATACAATGAAACTCGTTCTCAAAACCATATTACCCTATTGGTCTTTTACGCTTCAACCATACCACTAAATTACCATATTACCCTCTTACATGCACTACAACCAACACTAAATTACTTGACCATGGTTTACCAGGTTTCACTATCCCATCATTATCCTTGAAACCTAAGGACTTATAACCTTTATCATATTAACTTATGTCTTCATTAAATCAAAGAAAAAAAAAAAGAGAGATACTAGCTTTCTTATACAAAGAATGAGATGAATAATAATGAAGTGCCAATGGTGGGTAATCGTACAATTTCTTTTTCTGAGTATATACAAAAAAAAAACCACATCTTTTCTTTCATAGTCATTGACAAATGACAACCTTTAAACAGACAAAATACCGGATCTGTCCTCAGGACTACCTTCTCGAGTTGCAGTTTGACTCCCTCTTCTTGAAGTCCGTTTTGTAGCAACAACTTGAAAATCATCTTCATCATCAAGTTCCATTGCTATATCAATATCTGCACTTTTGAAAACTGGATGTATATAAGCATCCTTCAGGTACCCTTTCAGATCCAGGTGTGGTTCAGTTGCCTTTTCTAGTGTATCCTTGATCATTGCATCCTGTAATCAAGTTATTTGTTGTAAAACATAAAGGGCACTTTTGTCTTTCCACATGTCTATCAATTGTATTAAGTCATTCTTTCTACATTAAGTAAAAAAGAAAGACTCATATATAGTTTACCTGATTAAGTGTTGCCCTAACAATTAAGTCTATTAAGTCAAAAAGAAGATTTCTAACCTGTAATGGGAATTTTCTGAATGCAGATTCAAATCGGTTTTTACAAAACCTATGAAACCAGAAGGTTAAAACCGGAAGTACAAGAAGAAAAGGTGTCGAATTTGCAGCCTCTTTTGTGCTCAACAATCCCATCAACAACAACTGTGAAATCATCAAACCAATAATAATACGCCTATGAACATCTGGCCAAAACGATGCTGCACTCTCATACTTCTGGTGATACACATTGATAATCTAACACCACAGGACAAAAATTCCACAATTCAGACATTACTTACAAATTCAAACTTTATATTGTGTTTCAGATCTAAGCAAAATCAAGTTACCTGATGACGAAAAACCATATAAGCAAATGCGAAGAAGACGATGATGAATGGAAGGAGTATAGGGGTGATGGTTGAGTACACGAGTCCAAGCAAGAAGTACAACTGTAATCGAGGCTCAGTTACAGGCCAAAGCAATGAACCAGGATCCATGGCTTCCTCTCTGTCCTTTTCGGTTTTCACCAAGAACACGTTCTTTAAATGATAGATAACCAATGGAACAAGTCTCAAAATCTCAGCAGCTATTCCAGCCCAACCATCGACCATGATGTAAGTGATAAAGAATGTTGCTTTCATTGGAATCGACACACCAACAGTTTCTGGAATCCTAAATTGAGTATTAGAAATGTCAAAATCATGTTGATTATGTTTAGAGAGGTGAAATTTTGTGAAGAATGAAAGATTACTGGGATGGCGATTGATCCAAGAACTCTTTGAGTTGCTGAAGCGCGGTTCCAGTTATGATGCTTCCGAGAAACACGTTGACAAGCAAAAAGAGATGAAATTTTCCTGCTGATCTTGCTTCCAAAGCTGAGACTGCTGTGAGGCCTTCTATTTTAGACATTTCCATTAGAATCATGGGAAGAACGATGAGAAAAATCTTCAACACGATCCCGGGAAGAAACCCTTGAATCACAGACTTAACCGAATCTCTGTGACAGATAGAAAAAATAAAATAAACTCAAATCAAGAATCGATTTTGATGAAAAAACGATTTTAATCTTAGAAAGCTCTCGCTTACTTCTGGATAATGGGTTTCAGAAAGGGTAAAACTTTCTCGATTGATTCGATGTTGGCTAAAGTTTGAACAATGGCGATAGGAATCATGAAACAGAAAGTAAGACCAAAAAGAGCAACAGCCATGATTAATCTTCGAACATTGAGTTCGACAAATGGTATCGCAAGATTGTCCCAGTACACATCGCGTGGCTCCGGAGCCCAATCCGTGAGCCAATGAGTAGGATTCCTCGTTTGTTGTGTTTGAGCACAAACGGCTGCACCCCATCGCGATTTGAACGAAACAAACGCAGCTGGAACTACAGCTTTCGGGTCACCAATCACCCTTTCTCGTTCTGCTAATTCCTAGTTTATCAAATCATCCGATATAACAAATTCAGGTCAAAGCAAATTCAGGTCAAGAAAGAGTAAATTCCAATTCGTGATCACGTACTTCTTTGGATAGCTTCTCGATTTCTTCTGTATAGTAATCAATCGCATCAATAGTCTTTCCCCAAAGTCCCCAAAACCCTGTCTATACAGATAACGAAAATGGAATTATATTCAAACTTATAAAAGCAAATTAAAGACGAACAATTTGTAGTCACAAACCTTAGTGGTAGGCCTTTTATTACTTCTTTCGTACTTATTTGAGTAGTAAGTAAGCCGATTATGCAAATCCTTACTCTTATCCACCATTTTTGCAAGCTTATTTGCATTGTACACCACCTACGATCCAAGAAATAGATATTTACATTGAATCTACATACTAATTCAAGAGAAAACTTTCAGAATTGGGCAAGTTACAGATCCTTACGCTTATCCATAGGAGTTGATCTTAATACTAAAAATGCATAATGCAAGAAATAACAACATACTTTAAAATCATGTTGCTATTCTGCAACTTGCTAATACTCAAACTCTAATCTCTTGAAAACTGAGTAAAAGTCCATAGATTGCTATTTATTGCAGTTTACCCTTTTAAATGTTCTTCAAGAAAGAAGCGAACCTTATGTACAAGATATTGATCGGGATGATTAACAATGAAGAAATGTTCAACATGTTCACTAACAGTTTCATCTGGATCCGGGGGGACATTTCTCACAAGAACCTACACATAAAACAAAAATTATAAAAGAAAAAAAAAATAAAACGCTATTTTTTCAAGAAAACATATATCACAACTCAAAAACTTACAGTATATTGATCTGGACGACGGTTTTCAGAAGCAAGAAAATGCAACCTCATGTCAGTTACAATTTTATATTCTTTATAAAGAATATAACATGTCCAAAACGTGAAGACATACGCCATTGCTATATGCACAATTAACCTGATAAACATGTCAACAATCCTTCAAGTTATTAAACTCACAGGCTGTGTACACAACAAATAGTTGGATAATGGATTTCAACCTTAAACCCTTAACCTATAAACCGAAAAATATTCATACCTTTTTGATGCAGGAGGGACATTGGATATTGAAAACTTGTCTATCTCACCAAAAGTTATATCTTTCATATTAGTGGTTATATCCTTGAAATTTCCAGCTGTATAATTGACAGGTAACAGAACACCAAAAGCAAGTATAGCAATAGGAACAAATATCTTCAAGCTGCATAGAATTATTGATACTAATAAGTGAAAAAGAAAAACAATGAAGTTTGGGTCAAACAGGTCAAGAAAATTACTAACCCTAGAAGATAGATTCGAATGTAGACAGCAGAATCAAGGCCAGCATGATCAATAAGCTCAGGTTCTGGCATTCTTAATGCAGCAGGCACCCAATTTAAGAACCTTAAATACATTCTAAAATCAAGATTCACAAATTTCTTTACAAGAGGTCCTGAAGTACTTGGATTTTCTCTTATGCCTTTGAGATACCATTTTGGGAAGTAAACTCGATCATTCACTGGTTGAAGGCGTAAGATTGCAAATGCCACAAGAAATAGTAGGGCAGATAGACTGTTAATGGCAGCAGACACTGTAATATCTGATACAGTTGCCATTTTCTTTCTTGAAGATCAAATGCTACCTACATTTGAACAAATAGCATTCGTAAGACAAAATTCGATTGGAAAATCAAAGAAACAGATCAGGGTATATAGAAAATATAGAACCAATAGCATAATTTTAAAAGATTATAACATACCCATGTATCGAACACAAGAAGAAAGCACAAAAAATCCAATGTTTATTGGTTTCCTCAACGATATTTCGTTGGGTTTAATCTTAATCTTAGTATATTAAATCAAGCCCACAAATTGGATTGTAAACATTAACCAAAGGTCAGGTTCTTGTTTCTAAAACCAAACCAAGAATCCCAAAATAATTTCTTTCCAGGACATATTCAAGTATCAATTGCATTGTACATATCGATACACATAGAAAAAGGAAATCGACTGCATGATCCCAAAACATTCTACCATATACGCATCAATCAAATCACAAGAAATTCCTCAAATCAAAGTTTAAAATCAATCTGATTACCAAAAAACAAAGAGAATAATGCTCCAAGTAATCGCTAAAAACACATGCGCTACATGCTGATAACTCAAAATTGATCCAGGGTTTATTAGTATCAAAAGCAAGATTTTTGGGTTTCCGAATAATCAGAATCTTGAAAGACGAAAGATCAAGAGTTCAGAGTTCACTTTACCTTTTTTATCGGAAATAAAATAGAATGTATGTAATAATAATAATAATAAACAGAGTTTCTTGGAGTTGATTTGTTTCGGGTTGGGGTGAAAGACGGAGCACGGAGGAGGAAGGGCGGCAGCAACCGGCAACAAGCGTGGAACACAACGAGTGTGCCACGAAGTCGATGTTAGCTTAAACCGTTGCGTAGAATATAGAAATACAGAGATTTTTGAAATTCCCTATGTCCCATTTATTTATTAACAATTATTTTAACCAATACTATAATAGTCGGTTTGACATTGTTTTTTTATTCATCTGTTAATTTTAAATTTATATTTAAGTTCTTATAATTGTTTTACATGTATTTCTTTGGTCAACATGTTTGTTATAATTTTTAAAGTATCATGTTTGGATTAAAAAAATTATAGTTAGTTTTAAGCTTTATAATATAAATATAAACTACATTTTTAAGTTCAAAACATCACGAACCAATGCATTTTTAAACTTAATCCACGTTTTCTTCGTTGAATTTTGAGTCACGTACAAAATTATTTTATTTTGATTTATTGAACAGATGAACATACTCCAATTATTCCTTGGTAAATATAATTCGCTTTCATTTTTTTAATTGAAATTACAAAATAAATGTTTAATTTTAATTCTCCAAGAATATGCACGTGACGCACATTATTTTAGAACTTTACGTAATATTTTTTTTTTAATATAAAACCCAACTTTAGTTAAAAAATGTTTGGATGTGAATTACTAGAGTTGGTTGTGTGATAGAATACAATCATAATTAAGAACTATTTCTAAAAAAATAAATCATAAAAAAAATAGTTTGGATGTGTCTATGAACTTATCGAAAAAATTAGATGATTGGTTTAAATATTTTACAATTTATATCTAATTAATTACTATTAAGATCGTATTTTTTTTCCTATTTAAAACTTTGATATCCCTAATCATATATTCAAAAAAAAAATTATTTATCAAAATATTAAAAACCCAATTGTTAAAAATTTCAATGTACAATAGATGATTAGTTTTAAAACTCATATCTTTAACTTCCATGTTTAACCTCAAGTATTTAGTTTATATTAAAATCTTGTTTCTTTTATGTCAAAATATAGTATCTTCATGTTTGGTACAACTTTAAAAAGTTATGTTACAACAAAATCTAAATATAAATAGACTGTTTAATGTTAACGGCATAGCTTATCTATCTGTTACATGAACGCAAAACTTTTACTATATATTAGAAATGTGATTATTAGTAATTAATTTTGTTTTATTTAAGCATTCAAGAAAAGTGTATTTTAGTTGGTCTTTGTACTATTCCCCCATGTGTCGCATTATGCGGGAAATGGTAGTAGCTTTCTTTGAGGATGTCAACTTTATAGTTGGCAATTGCCAACAACAACGGCAATCTTTAGGGGACGCATTGTGTATTTATAAGTTTTTTAATAATATAAAAATCTAATAAACCTACAAAGTTATGAATCTTATAATAACTAAAAGTGTCAAATATCATACCAAACACGACTATATGACAAATTATGGAAGGTGCGACAATAACAAGAAAACTGGATATCACTGCCGGCAAGAAAAAAACAAAGATTTGGATTAATAAAACTTTACAAAGTTCCTTTTTGTTAAAATAAGGACCATATTTAAAAGTTAGTCAAAATAACTTTATCAGCTAAGGTACCAAATGACATCTAACCCAGCGGTATCAGATGATGTTTTTCCTCCAAATTGAAGGTTCAAATGTTGTTGGAGACATATGTGGATTTATGAGTAATAAATAATTATTTTAGATTTGTTATTAAAAAAAAATTATCAAATAAAGTTATGTTTCTCATGCTAATTGAAAAACTAGCCGGCAAAAGATGGTTATGTTTTGCATTTTTAGAAAAATATGTTTTGTTATGGTTAATTAAGGACACATTTGATAAAAAAAAAATTAAAAAGTTAATGAAAAAAATAGTCTAGGTAACTTTTTAAAAAACTAGTTTTTAATTTTTGACAAAATAATAACTTAAAAAAATCAAAAAATAAGCAAACTTATCAGTTAGTTATGATTGTCCCATATAACCAAAAAATTGATGGGAACAATGCATATTTAGGATTAGAATGTGCTAGGGAACAATAAGTTATGAATCAATTTGTATTATTCACTTGTGTATTTTATAATTGTAAGGTGTTATAATTTTATTAATGTACAAATTGTTATACTTAAAAGAAAAACTTAAGATGTCAAAACATAAAACATTAAAAAGACAATTTGATTGTTGATATTGTTGCATGACACTACAATATCAAGTATTCAACCAATTACAATTCGGTGGTGATTATTGTTCCGAAGAAAATACATGAATTCAATATATTGTTTTTCTAGAGTCTTGTTTTGATATCGTTTGAGATATGAGGTGTAAAATCATAAATGCATGATAGAAGATAATATATATCACTTCAAAATAACAAAAACTACATTGATGACCATATCACTTTTCACATGGATGACCATATCACTTTTGAACGGAATCATGAGACATGTTCTCCCTTAGTACACAATCCTTATGTATAAAGATCATAGAGAAAGGTATTTATCTTGTTTCCTTTTCTAGAAAAAGCAAGATTTTTATTAAAATAAAACTAAGAAGGTTCTAAATGATACAAAATTACATAAAGATAGCTATATTGGTCACTTCACACATGAAGGATGCACCATGTGATTGTTTGGGTGTCAAAGCAACAAATAAAAGGATAAAAATAACACAAATCATTGCTACAATATACTAATTAAAAAATAATATAGAGTAAACATGGTCGAACCGTTGAGATACATAACTAACTATTTTATACCACTTTCACATGGCCCATATCGATGTTAAAGTGTGGGTTTTGTTATAGAAATCAATAAACTTCCATAAACAAATTACAAATAAGAAATTGAAAACTAATATTTAAAAATGAAATAGATGTCCGACTCTAAATTTTATTTAAAATACTATGTTTTTTGATAAGATATGACATCAATTAATGTTTAATCTAGATTGATAATTAAAATACTAATATGCATAGTTGTTAACTCGTGACTTGACTCGTAAGAGTCATGACACTAAAAATTATATATAACATCATGTGTAAACAAAATATAAACCGAATATTTAAACAAAATATAAACCGAATACACGTCATAAAGTATCAAAAAATAACTAGTGATTTAGTAACAAAGCAAACGACAAAAAGACTTAGTGTGTTTGAATCATAAAACTAAACTTCAGGGATAAAGTGGTCATCATCTTCATCTTCGACCACCCTTGTCTCATGGAAACCAATGTCATCTCCCTCCTCCTCATCCTCATCATCTAAGTCAACAAGTTGGCTTTTAGCTTTGTCTTTAACATTAGGCACTTTGTTTAGGTTCTTTGGTCCTACAAATAAATAAAGCTTGTATTTATTAAACTTGATACTTATTAGTTATTAATATTATAATATATAATCATCCCTTTGTATAATTTATCTATCTTCCTTTTATTAGTACTAGTTCCTTCATCCTCTTTAAAACATTCATGAACATCCATCCATGAGATATCTTCAGGAGACATACATCCTCCTTTTCAGTAATCCATTCATCATCTGACTCCATGTCCGACAAACATATTGGATCATAGGTCTCCCCTCTTTCTTTTCTCTTTTGAAGTCGTGTATCAAGGTTGATATTATATTTCACAAACACCAATGCATTCAACCTTTGTTGCTCCAAACGGTTCCTCTTCTTGGAGTATATATGGTCAAAAGTGCTCCAGTTTCTCTCACATCTGGTGGCACTACATGTGAGGCTCAAGACACGAATAGCAAGATGTTGAAGTTTTGGGCACTCGTCTCCATAACTTGACCACCATTTAGCTACAACTTAATAGAACAAATGAGTAATAAGCAATAATGTAACTATTATATATTTTACTAGGTTATATTTTTCCTAAAAGTTACCAGGTTGCATTTTCTTCCTCATTAGCACGGCTACGGATATCCCAAACATCCCGATGCTCTCATTGAACTTTACAAGTTGTTCATGAATTGTCACTATTGTTGGCCTACCATACATCATTTCAATGACATCATACACTCCGCATTTGACTTCTTTATCAGCATTAAAGTTCTCCTCGAAATGAAGACTAGTTTATAAAATAACAGAAAGTATGTGTTTAGTCGTATATAATAAATGTTAGTGAAATAATATATATATATATATATATATATATATATATATATATATATATATATATACACACCTAGGATTAAGAAAATATCTTGCGGCATGAAGTGGCCTGTGAAGTTGCATATTCCACCAAAGAACAAATTTGTCCCAAATAGGTTTATATCTTGACTCGACGCTGTGGAAGTTCACTTTTAGTTGTTCTTTGCCCGATCCATAGCTTCATATATATATATATATATATATATATATATATATATATATATATATATATATATATATATATATATATATATATATCCCGTTGTCGGTTTCACATCACCATCCATAATTCTCAATACCTTAAAAATAGGAACTACACAACTCAAACAATATTTTATAGCCTTCTAAAAGTTGACATCAACCAAAATAATTCCTTCAACTAACTTCCCTTCATCTTTAGAAGCAAAGGTGGATTCGGCTCATTCATTAGAAGCAAACAATTGTCGAATAGGATGTTTTAACTCTTAAAATCTTTTCAATGTAAGAAAAGAAGTAGCAAATCGTGTTGCTCCGGCTCGTGTTAGTTCTTGACCACCGGTGAACCTTCTAAACATGGATAACAAAACACGATGTCTATAAATAATTATAAATGGTTACTCAAGGAGTTTTACAACACTGCTTAAAACTAAAGGAAAATGGTGTTAGAATCGAAGGAAGTTGAAAGAGAAAGCAATGGGAGGTGTGGGAGAACTGAAAGGGAGCTGCAACGCAGTTATAGGAGGGATTTATGGGAGGTGTGTCACGCCCATATCAGGACCGCGCCGCTCCCTGGCCTGGTCGGCCTTCTCAGATGCTGACACGTGTCATACTTTGTGTGGTACAACGTGGCAAAGCGGGTATATGGGGTAGCAACTTCAAAAATTCATATATCAGCCATTGTAACACCCGTATATTCGAGCTAGCCAATTTAGAGACAATGAGCGTTAAAAATGACATTTTAATAGAAGATTATTTAGAATAAATAATCTTAACCAAGTTATATTATATGTTACAGGGGTTCCGTACATATAAAGAACGTTGAAATCCGAGTTATAACGAAGAAGTTATGACTCATCGAAGTTTTACGACTAAACTGACACGACACCGCGTAACGTAAAAAGTGAATTTTTGATAAATTACTTTTTAGCCTTAGCGATCTAAACAAAAGTCGTAATATATGTTAAACCGAGAACATACATAAAAAGAACGTCCAAATCTTACTTCGTATGAGGAATTTATGATTTTTCTAAGATTTCGCATAGTAGTGCACAACCTAGAAATCGAATTTTAGATCGATCGATTTTTAGCCGACACAACCTAAATGAAAATTTAAGATCTCATTAATAGGAGCTCAACAATATAAAGACAGTCGAAAACGGACGTCGGATGAAAAAGTTACGAATTTTAGAAGATAATTAGTTTTTGGAGTAACCAGCGAGCGACACGTGGTGTGATCTGAGCCACTGCTTCCTCACCACGGCTTGGCACCAGATGATGACACCTGGCCACGAACGCCCAACCTATAAATAGAGGCACAAATTACCTCAAAAACTCACACCTTTCCCATTCTTTCTCTCTCAAACTTCTCTCTAAACCCCTCCCAACCCTTAGCACTTCCCGAGTGCTAGAGGCGAGTCCCGGAGCGCCAGAAGGCTCTGAGAAGAAGAGCTTTTGGCTCGGAAGTTCCGCCCCCGCAGAGCCCGGTTCCTAGCCAAACCTCCTAGTAAGTGAGTTATGCTTACCCTACTTTAAGTATAGCTTATGTTTAAGTTCAATATCGTTATTATGAACCTATAAACAATATATGTATTATAAAATATAATATAAAGTGTTATTATAATATCTTTTAACTACTAGCTTACTAGGGACAATGAGCGTTAAAAATTCATATATCAGCCATTGTAACACCCGCAGATTCGAGCTAGCCAATTTAGATACAATGAGCGTTAAAAATGACATTTTGATAGAAGATTATTTAGAATAAATAATCTTAACCAAGTTATATTATATATCACAGGGGTTCCGTACATATAAAGAACGTTGAAATCCGAGTTATAACGAAGAATTTATGACTCATCGAAGTTTTACGACTAAACCGACACGACACCGCGTAACGTAAAAAGTGAATTTTTGATAAATTACTTTTTAGCCTTAGCGATCTAAACAAAAGTCGTAATATATGTTAAACCGAGAACATACATAAAAAGAACGTCTAAATTACTTTTTAGCCTTAGCGATCTAAACAAAAATCGTAATATATGTTAAACCGAGAACATACATAAAAAGAACATCCAAATCTTACTTCGTATGAGGAATTTATGATTTTTCTAAGATTTCGCATAGTAGTGCACAACCTAGAAATCAAATTTTAGATCGATCGATTTTTAGCCGACACAACCTAAATGAAAATTTAAGATCTCATTAATAGGAGCTCAACAATATAAAGACAGTCGAAAACGGACGTCTGATGAAAAAGTTACGAATTTTAGAAGATAATTAGTTTTTGGAGTAACCAGCGAGCGACACGTGGTGTGATCTAAGCCACTGCTTCCTCACCACGGCTTGGCACCAGATGATGACACCTGGCCACGAACGCCCAACCTATAAATAGAGGCACAAATTACCTCAAAAACTCACACCTTTCCCATTCTTTCTCTCTCAAGCTTCTCTCTAAACCCCTCCCAACCCTTAGCACTTCCCGAGTGCTAGAGGCGAGTCCCGGAGCGCCAGAAGGCTCTGAGAAGAAGAGCTTTTGGCTCGGAAGTTCCGCCCCCGCAGAGCCCGGTTCCTAGCCAAACCTCCTAGTAAGTGAGTTATGCTTACCCTACTTTAAGTATAGCTTATGTTTAAGTTCAATATCGTTATTATGAACCTATAAACAATATATGTATTATAAAATATAATATAAAGTGTTATTATAATATCTTTTAACTACTCGCGTTACGGAGAATCTGGTTTGAAAGGTCGCATAGGGTTGTTGGATTTCAGAAGTGCTATAATGCCAAAAGGGTCCTGCCCTCCGGTGTTTCATGTATGGCCCATGTCTGTACATAGTGGTTGAAAAGTATTGTTTAACACCTATAAAACAATATCGCTCATAAATAGCCGCAATAAATATTAGACTAAAATCAAGCGGTAATGATAGTAGGTTTCGTCGAAGGAAATAAAATTGTTAGAAGCGAAGCGTTGCCCGAATTTCGAGTCATCACTTTAAGAAGTGAGTGCATAGTTACTTTCATCTTACACATAGATATGAAGTATTTAATATAAATTACATGCTATGTGTGCATATTATCTGTGTTCTTGATATATATTCTAGATGAACAAAATATACATGTTTTATTCGAATTAAACTGTATACATATTTTATACCTATAATTATGATGGGTAAAGATGGGTTGATGAAAAATGAGATGAGAGATGAAAGATGAGATGAGATAAGAGATGAAAGATGAGAGGAATGATGAGAGATGAAAGATGATATAGATGATGAGAGGTGAAAGATAATGAGAAGCGATGACCCAAGCGATGACTCAAGCGATGACCCAAGCGATGACTCAAGCGATGACCCAAGCGATGACTCAAGCGATGACCCAAGCAATGGCCCAGTCATCTAGCAGAGTATAGATGACAACCACAGACTATTCTAGACAGTCCAGTGGAACACTAGCAGGCTCGCAACCTGTAGGTGTTGTGAACGATATGTTCATCAGATGTACTCTAAAAACCCACTGACATGTATTGTGGGTGGACTCCCTAAAATAATACTATCAATAAAATAGATAAACCCTAGAAGCTATGGACTTAGTGTCTAATAAATAACCTCGGCAGCTATGGACTTAGTGCCTGCTATATAAACTCTGGCAGCGATGGACTTCATGTCTATTCCTTAGGACAATCCTTAGGAATGAATGAGTGAATGATATATGATTCTTAGGGTATATCCTTAAGAAATAAAGAAGATAATGGGGATGGGTAATTGGGTTAATTTTTTGATGATGAAACATAATAACTTTATTATTGTGGGTTGAAAACCCTATGTACTCACCAGGTTTCCCAACGTGACCCACTCAGTTTATTTGTATCACAGGTGTCGATACGAAGCTACATTACACTGAGAGATTAAAGGAAATGTAAAGCACTAGTGTAAATGAATGTAAGGTCTGCTTATGCCTATGTTTCTGTATTGAGGATGACATCCCAAAGTTTTAATATAAACAAAATACATTACTTCAAAAATGCTTTGATAATATATTTATCATGTTTTCTGGGAACAAATTCCGTAGTATTATTCTTTAAAATGAATACTCTGATTTTTAAATAAGCATAAATAAAATTTTTAAAATGACCGTGAATTTGGGAATTTCACAGTCATACAAGCTTCGTTTTCAACGTTCTCTATATCCAAGCGTAGTGTAACGACCCAAAAATTATGAGGTAAAAATTTCATTTTTAATTCAACCAAAACACCAATTATCTTTTATTCAAACATTCAAAAATTAGTTTATAATAAAACATTCATCAGAGTACAATCCCCAAAATCATCACATTGCGGAAACATGGGTGGATGTAGTGTAGTCACGCCAGGCCCTTCCCTTTTCGTAGCGGAAGTACCTGAAACCATAAACAATAAACCGTAAGCACAAATCTTAGTGAGTTCCTCAAATACCACATACCAAAACATACAAGTGTCATGGGCCACCCCCATGGTCTTTCCTTGTAATGTTGAGGGCCAAATCTCGGTCTTACATACAAGTATCAGGGGTCAGATCCTGGTCTTTCATACAACTGTCAGGGGCCAGATCCTGGTCTTCCATACAACTGTCAGAGGCCAGATCCTCATCTTTCCTATAATTGTTAGGGGCCAGATCCTGGTCTTTCATGCAAGCATCACAGAGACAACTAACATTCCACATATCAAGTAATGGGCCGACATTGGTGCCTTCGACCCATGAATACAGTGAGAAAACTCACCTCAAGCTGCTGAATATCTCAGATAAAAGCTCGGACTGTCGGTCCGGAAAATCCCCGCGCTAACAACATCAAATAATACCAAATAAATAATTGGTCCACAACACATACAAAAGTTTTAGTATACGTTAAAC